TAGATACTGTAAATACACTCAGTGTGATCATTTGTAACTTTACAGTATCGGTTTTTCTGAATACTGTGTGGATCAAAGTTAATATTAATGAGTTCCAGTTGTTGCACTTTGCCAGTGAGGCAGAACCACCTAAGCTGACTTATAATAAGTCAAAGAAAAATCAAAATAATTCAACAAGTCAAAGCTATAGGCAGCAGGCACAGGCCACTGTTTTGCTCTCACAGGGGATCACAAGGAGCAGTCCCGTCTCTCTTTCATTAAAGGGTGAGAGCTAATTAATATTCATTTGCCTTATTCATAACGACTGCACTGTAACCTTGAGAGTTCTCCTGCTGTAATTTACATGTGTCATCTGTTCCACTGGTCTGAGCTAGCTGCGTCATGCTGATGAGACTTGTGTGCGACACAGCTGTTTGAGGCTGCGGACAGGCAGAAGCAGGATTAGAGAACGGATCTCTTCTCGGGATCTGCCTTCCAGTGCTGTGATATTGCTAGGGCTCGTTAATATTACCATTCCCATAAATCATAGCAACAACATGTTCTTCCCACATACTGTACCTCTGAATGTACTCTGTCCCCAATAGACTGATACTACTCGTTAGAGTCCATGACGTCTGTTTGGAATTACAGTGTATAATCGGCAGACCTGGCTTACATACTATCCAATTAAGTTTCACATGAAGGAGAAACACTACTTCACAAGTTACATGTTATGCAAAAATGCTACACCTGAAACACCGAGCTTAAAACAGGTTGGCCACAAACCCAGCAGTGTCCAGCACTGTATCTCTACGCACTACGCAGTACCAGAGGGAAAGAGGAGAGAGGTGATATTTACACAGCGTAGCAAAAATTAGATAGTACTGCTATTTATACTCCAAAGTGGAGTCAGCTGCCCACAGCCTCTGCCAGCTGGATGTCGGGCAGCAATCCAGGAGTGGTGGCACACGCCGCTGGCTTTATTTACTTTCCCCCCTCTGGGTTATTCCTGGATCTTGCCCAGGTGTCCCGGGCAGCCAGAGCACCTGCCAGACAGAAGTGTGCAGAATGCACAACAGCGTTTTCCCAGCACTGTCCGGAGAAGAGGGGAGTGAGGAGATTGCAGTCCTTACAATAGG